GAATTTTAACAGATAAATATCAGAAATAAAAGTTATTTATCACATAAATAACAGGAATAACAGTTATTTATCTGATAAATGCTGCAAAATATGGTTACACTATTACACTTGCCGACTCGGCGGCGCTTAAGGTGCTGACAGGTGTATTTTCACCTTTAAAATATTGTAAACAGTGTTTGTTACAATGGCTGAGTGACAACTATTATTTTGTGTCCTTTTCTGTCGCAGGGCATTATGTTGTCCCTCTTTATCTAGTTTGTTTACATTCTTTTAAATACCTCCTAGAACAGAGTAGTGTATTTTTGTAATGTAAATATGTACTCTGACACCAAATGTGTTCTCACACGAAAACAAAAAGTGATTTTTGTTAGTTTTGTACATAATTTGTACTTTAGGTATTCATACTTGACTATTAGTACCTGGGCTAGGCGATTTAACGGACATTAATAATTTTTATTGCGGATCTCTAAAATTTCAGTATTTGAAAGAATTAAAGATACACAATTGACCTGAACTACATCTTAAAGCTGTACATTAGTTCACATTAGAATAAAATAGACATTAGCGCTGTAGTGGTACAAATGTGGAACCTCATATAGATAACAGCATTCTAACAGAACACATGTGAACCTATTTTACGCTCACCGCATTAAATTGGAGTTATACAGTTCACATAGCCGTATTTCATTTCCACCATTTTGTTCTACGNACTAACTTACCTAATTAAAATTATGACACATTTTTTTTGCAGAAGGACAACTCATTAGCTTTCGAAATAATTTTAATTTATATTGATATATCAAAAGGAAAAAGCTATATCAACCATTTTGTTCCGGAAAATGTCTAACGGACACACCATATGAATCAGAGAATCACACTTCAAATATTTTTAATTTGTATAAAGACAGCAATTATGTCAAAAATGTAATTTGCGCCAGATAGGGCTATAGCTAAGCTATAGGAAAAAAAATATTGCATGCCATTTTGTTAGTTGGTTACTGAACTATACGCAAAGACATCGAAAATTTTGCCTCCGAAGAAATACCCTAGCATACTTAAGTTTAATATTATTGTCTATCATTCATTCACTGTCATCATTCTTATTTATTGTACACAACCTATTATTTTCATATGACGTAAATTCTCTAGCTAGTTAAACATACTAAAGGCACAATAATATTGTGATAACAATAATATTGGTAATCAACATAATCACAATAACAATGAAAATTAACTATGTTCGTTCATATAAAATAGACGATGCATGACCGATTCTAAAATTAACATTTGAACAGGTTTTCAGGCACGTGTCAAAACCTTCAGTACAAAGAGTTCAAAGTAACTGTAATGAACCTATGAATAACTCTATTTACTTAGAATAGTCACAATAGGTATGTTAATATTGCATGCAACGGAGGGAAGTTGAACCTTAACTTCGAACTCCTCCTATGTTCTTCTGATTAATGTCGTTGCAGGTCCAATGACAGTTTAACTTTCACTGGTTGGGTTTATATTGGCGGTCAAGCTGTCGATCCTGGCTACACAGGAGTTGCAGCGATGGGAAAGAGAGGTGGGAATAGTCCCGTAATAGCTATGTTAACTATAAGGGTTTTCTTTTATAATGAAAAGAAAATGATTGTTTTTACACAAATTAATAATAGTCCCGTTAGCCCCTCCTGGTAGGTACTAAGCTAAATTAGCCTGTGTCACGAGTAGGCTCAGCACCCCGCACAAAATACCCATCTTACTTTGACTTTAACAAACGTCAAAAATCTGTCAAACTCCATACAAAAAACACCGGTCATCGTAATAGTTACGGTCAAAGTTAGGTGGTGCAACTCAGCCATAATGGAGCGGCGGCGTGGTTCGAACCCGCGTTACTTGGATTGGAACACGAGTCGGCCAGTCCGACCCCTTCACCGTTCGGCTATCGTGGCTTCCAATAAATAATTCTTAAGATACATAGAAACTGGATTTCGTAAATTGTTTTTTTTAAATTTACAGCTACTCTGCGCCTATTTCAAAAATAATTTCCTTGTTTTGTAGTTAATTTACATTTTACTATAATCTCTAAGGAGTTTGTTAATGGTTATGTTCGTATTTTGTATTTACATTCTACTCGTAGGCTGATTTTTTTCCTGCTAGATAAGTAATTTACGCATTTCCGTTGTTTAATTACAACGCTAGATAGTTTCTAAAGAATGAAGATTATAGTTAAGAGACTTTTTAATGGTTATGTTATTCATCACTTGTGAAAAATACTCATTAGGTACTTTACGCGCTCCTGTAATGGATCTGAAAAAAGGATGGCGCATGCAATTGGACCAAGAACGTATCGTACGTACCTTAATTCTAAGCCTTTTTATTGGCCTCAGCCTTATTTTTTATCTATCGAAATAAATAAAACGAATAAACTAAACCTAATTCGTCATACTTGTTTTGCTAAAAAATTCAACATCCTACCAAAGAAAAATAAATTTCTTCGCAAACAAAGATCTACGCGTGCTAATAATTTATCAAGGTGTATTCTTTATTTATTATACCTAGGTTTTATTTTATCTTATCTTATCATAATTATAGGTAATGAAATCCTTTATAAAACAAGAGTTAATCTTTAATCTTTGTTAGACCAACACTTTACCGCGGCTTCGGTCGCGTTTTATTGTTATTTGCCTTTTCTTGCATCTTTTCATTATTTCATACATGTTTTTCCTATTAAGAGCCATTTTACATTTTCGTGCGAATTTCTAAGATTTTGGAAGCATGAATTACTATCTTAAGCAACACCCAGAGATTATTTAATAACTGCGAAAGATAGGTCGATCCTTGTTGTTGACCATTAATGAAACGGATTTACTAAAACTCTTTTTCTTAATTCACAGTGCCCCATCTCCCACAACCATTTTACGAAAAAATTGCCGCAGACTCATTTTCAAAGTCCTGTATCTATTATTTATGCTCATATAATAAGCTTAAAAATATAAAGTAATCATCGGACATATATTCTTGTAGTTCATTAATGAAATAGATTCTTGAATTTCATTACCATTATTGAGTAAAATCTAAAAATAATTTGGCAAATTTGAAGATTAACGTCACATTTTGATCGTGGTTTTTGGTATCCAGGGTCCGATGATGGAGCTGTAAGGGGGCAGATTTATTTTTCACTATGTGACTGTCTTTATTTTGTACTTAATATACAGGGTGTTAGGTAAATGGGTATATGAGCCGACACTAGCCCATGTTAACATGGGCATATAAATGGTATGGTGAAGTCAGAAATTTGATATCATCATTAATTTTTTTTTAATTGTCATACAAAATAAATTTTATAAAATCCGATTTGTATGAAAATTTAAATAATTAAAATGAAGATATCAATTTTCTGACTTCACCATACCATTTATATGCCCACGTTGACATGGGCTAGTGTCGGCTCATATACCCATTTAAACACCCTGTATATTTCACATATTATACCTATTCGTGTTTCATTATGAATCGAAATATAAAAGACTTAATAAACTCTATTAAAATTTTAAATTAATTAATCAAGTTTGAATACCTCATTCTACCTTAAAATTAATAACTTAAATCAAGTCTTAATACGGTCACTCACGGCTCAAGATTTTTTTGTCCATTTCAGCGTTCTTTTTACTCTTTTGACGTTGCGTTGACAGCTTTTACCTAAATTCGCGCGGAATATTTTTGTGAAATGGCTCTTAAGGTCATGGCAGACTAGCAACAGTTATCAACTCGGAAAAGGATCAACACCACCGTATCGTCTTTCGCGAGCTGTCATCGCCTTTCGCGCGCTGTCAAATTGACAGTATCAATCGCAAGGCGAGGCGTTTATGTTACGGTGCAGATAAGTGTGCTTTCCAGTATGGAGTTTCATACAAAGAATACTGACCGCCTCGAATTGATACGATTACGAACCCTTTCCGGGTTTATAAATGTGCTAATCCGACTCTGTTATATTTTTTTTTTAAATAAAACGTATTCTAAACCTTTTAAGCCCCAATCTCTACGCGAAATATCATGAAAAATTCAGTGGTTTACTTGAAAAATCTGAAAAAGTGTAACGTTTCCACACATACAGACAGAGTTACGTTCACATTTTAATATTTACTTCTAATAATTATCTAATTCCTTACGCTAAGAGTCAAGAATTTCAAATATTTGTAGAGCGGCAATGACATTTTATTAAACCAAATCTGCAAATAAACGAGCTTGCTTTGCTTATGAGTAACAATACCTATTAGAAGAGTCTCAACTAACTACTTATTGCTTAAGTTCTAACACTCTGTAAATTAAAGTTTAACTTTTAGGAGAGTGAAGAAAATGGAAAACTTTCATATATTCGCTTATAGCATTACCTACATAATAATATTACTGGTTCCAGCGTTTCTTCTCAGGACTTGTACTATGTTTGTCTCGAAGCGCTCTGATTGGGCCCAAAAGATAAGGAGACATGTAAAGGCTACCTCTATTATGTGTGATAGGGATAGAAACATGCGATTTTTGGTTTTACAAAGATAATACGATAGAGAATAATACAAAGTAATAAAAACCACCTGTTATAGGGGGTTTTTTGGAGAAATTTATCAAATAACCAAAAAGACACAATTTTAAAAGCAGATTTTTTTCAAAAAGTATCATTTTTTATTATTCGTTGGCCTTTTTTGTGTATTTTATGTATTTTTTTAGTATTGCCTGTTATTTAGCATTATTACTGTTTTTATTTTATCAGGATATACCGCTTAGTTTAAAAGTTATTACGTTTTCTTTACAATAAGTAATGTAATGTTGTTGGTATACCGTAAATAAAATAAAATAAAATAAAAATAAGTAATTGGAAGAAAAAGATATCTAAAAAAAAAATCGCAAAAATTTTTTGACCTCTTTTTTGTCGATAAAAATAGGTCTAGTTTCATCTATTTTCATATGTACACTTTAACGTGACTCACACTGTATATTAATAAGTAAAATGTTCTTACCCCTTCTAACAGATGAAGCGCTGCAAAATATAGCAAGCAACACTATACAGCCGTATATTTCAGAGTGCCAGCGCATAGTGACAGTTGACAGTGCTCCACAGCACTAATGCGCAGGCGCCGCACTGGCTAGTATATAAAGAAGCTGGTACAGACGATAAAAAAGAAATAAAACTGGCCAAGTGCGAGTCGAAACAACAACTTACAACGTAGGTAACACAACGCACCTTTCAGGTTTTCACCATCAATCCTTAATTTTTAAGTTACGCCTATGACAACACTTAGCAGGAATTTTAGGTAAAAACCTTATGCCCGTTTTCACCATCAATCCCTAATTTTAAGTGACCCTCATGGTAACACCTAGCACGAATTTCGTTTCCAAAGGGGTCACTTAAAATTCAAATATTAGGGATTAATGGTGAAAACGGGCATTAAACTTTCAGGCGTCGATTTATTTCGAGATCGGTTCCTAACGAGTCTTCATCGATTTTAATAGATATGCCTAAGTATTTATTTGTCGTGTAATATCGACATAATACCATCATTTTATAGTAGCGCGTATCCTAGTTCAGTTACGGGACTAAGTATTCCCACCTCTCGTTTCCACCGCTGCAATTCCTGTGTAGCCAGGATCTACAGCTTGACCGCCATATAAACCCAACCAATGAAGGTCAAGTTTGTCCCGGGGGAAAGTTGAACAGCATTGGACCCGCAACGAAATTAATCAGAAGAACATAGGAGGAGTTCGAAATTGAGGTACGACTGCCCTCCATTGTAAAGCGGATGACAGGTGACAAACAAAGGTTTAATAACCTAGGTATAATCCTAGTTCAGTAGGTTTAATCCTAAGAGTAGGCGCACACCGTTGATATTTCGTCGCCCGATAGTTTAGTCGGGCAGTTGATCAGTATGGGCATGTATGGGAGAGCGCACACTATGCCGATTCGATTTGGCCGATTCTTCATACAATTTAAAATCGGGCACAACTATCGGCCAACTAAAAATCAACGGTGTGCGTCTACTTTAAAGGTTTAATCCTAGTTCAGTTGTATGGCATAGTCGCGGGGAGAGTCATTTAGAACGCAGTGGTTACCAGGTTCAGTTCTGGTTGTGGTCTGGTGAACTCTGGTGAACAAGCGTGTGACTGACAATAGCAGTGTCTACTTGGCAAAAGGTATTCAATGAATGAAAATCTATGGTTTCAAATGTCTGTCTTTATACCTATCTGTTTCAGCACTGGAAGCAATGGAAATACGAAAAAAGTACTTTACCTATTTTCAATTTAACTGTATTGTCGTCAAATTGACGTAAAATACTAATATTATTTTGGTTTTTAGTATAAGTTGCAATCGACTGTATTAACATTATAGTAATGCAAAGGGATTGTTCTTTTGTAAACCAAATTAATATTGTTAATACTTTTTAGTTTTTGTTTTACCCAAACCTAGTTGTTGTTGTTGTTTCAGCCGAAAGACGTCCACTGCTGGACAAACCTAGTAATATCAAGTAACAAATCGAATGATATTGTAGAGTCAACGGTGAAACCACGTAATGTATTGCAAATTACACTAACATTTATCTATTCATTAATTTCAAAACAATCAAAAAGTACAATTAAATAAGAATTAACTCGGGCTTCAGCAAAATGGCGTGTTTTATTGTTATGTGGTAGGTACCTTGGAATTATTGGTTAATGTAGACAAACTAACTAATTTATAGTTATGTTGAGACATGCGTTATAGGTAAAAACACCTGAGTGATAGGGTAAACCAACGTGACGTATCACCAGGGACACATTTTATGAGATACGACTAACTAGGTATTTACGTGAGGTATCAAGGTCTAGCTAGACTCTAGTCCAGACCTTGGGACCTAACTCAATAGGTATACCAATGGTAGAGATACTTAAATTTATATCAACCGGCAGACAGTGGTGACTGAGTTTGTTCGGCGCTTCTTCTCAGCACTTGCCAAATGTTGGTCTCGAAGCGCTGGTAGAGTAAAAAGATTATGAGACATGTACCTAGAGACTCTTTACGAGCAAAATATTTGACGATTTGTAGGATTTAAACGATCNGTTTATTGTTTTCTCTATTTCTCTTGCCCAAACGATGGATTTTGTTAACTTCATAATCTCCTATAGTAATATTTAGGTCGTGTTTTAAAGTCTCTCTAAATTTTTCTAGTAGTTCGGATGTAGATGTTTCTTTTTCTTCAAGGCCAAATACTATTAAGTTGTTGCTCCTCTCCCCTCGTTTTAGATGCTCCATTTCCTTCTCCAATCTTTCCAGTTTAATTTTTAGGTTTTTGTTTTCTTCCACTATAGGTATTAATTTCTCTTCCATTCTGTCCATAATATTTTTAGTGATAGAATCTCTCAGTTCAGCATTTTGGTTTTGCATCTCGATTTTCATTTTTTCAAATAATATTTGGAATTGACCCTCCATTGTTTGTTATGAACTTACTTTAGCGTGAATTGGAACGTAATGGTAGAAATGGTAGAAATTATTTTCACAGTTGGCAACACTGACTGAGATGACAGTCGGTTGAAGTTGACTTTGACAAGTAGTCTGACAGGTCTTGTCAATGATGAATCACAATTTGAATCAATTTGAATGATGTTTGCTAACCTCAAATATCTGGTGGATGATAATTACGTTTCTATTTTCGGTGATCTTCAGCAAATTCACAATTCTGATTATTTGTAAACACTTCTCAGTGGTTCAGTGAGTGTATTGAGGCGAATTTGTTGTCCAAAGTTTCTTGTAACTATTTATAATCACTTGATTTCTTCTGGAGGTTATCACTACAGTGTTGACAGTTCTAACGCCGGAAATGGAAANAAAAGAAAGGCGATCCATTCAAAATAGAAAAAGGCGTCAGGCAGGGAGATCCCCTATCCCCAAAACTATTCTCCGCGGTACTAGAATCCATCATCAGACAACTGAATTGGGAAAATCTCGGGATAAATGTGGATGGTACATCGCTGACGCATTTGAGATTCGCCGATGATATAGTTCTCTTTGCCAATTCATCCGAAGACGTCAATAAAATGTTGGAAGACCTCGCGAGAGAAAGCGAGAAGGTAGGATTAAAACTAAACCCTGAAAAGACCAGAGTGATCACCAATGGAAACAAAACCACTATAAGACTAGGAAACACAGAAATCGACTACACCGACGAATACATTTACTTGGGACAACTCATAACACAAAAAGATCCTATGCGCAAAGAAGTACAGAGAAGAATAACAAATGGTTGGAAAAGGTACTGGAGCTTGAAAGAGGCTATGAAAGACGATAAACTTCACATAAACCTCAAAAGCAAACTGTTCAACACCTGCATACTACCCGTCCTCATTTATGGCTGCCAATCTTGGACTTTAACGCAAGAAACGACTAGCAAACTCGCAACTTGCCAACATGCTATGGAAAGGAGTATGCTAAATGTCAGGAAGTCAGACAGGATGAGAAACCGTACAATAAGAAACAAAACAAAAAGTATTGATGTAACACTAAAAATTAGAAGACTCAAGTGGAGATGGGCAGGACACATGATAAGAGGTTATGACAAATGGAGTAAGAAAGTGACAAGATGGTATCCCAGGGAAGGCAAAAGGAAGAGAGGCAGACCGCAGAAAAGGTGGGACGACGATATCAGAGAAGTGGCAGGAGTGATGTGGAATAGAGTCGCTCAGGAAAGATCAGAATGGAAAAGGTTGGAGGAGGCCTTTGCCGATTGGCAAACAGATCTGCAGAAAATAAGCAGGAGAATAGATTAAAACTTCAACAAAATATAAATTGTTACTTTGTTACAATGATCATGTTTGTATTGTTAATTGATCTGAATAAAGGGCTATATTATTATATTATTATTATTATTATTAGGATTTAAACAGTCTGTACAAAATAAAGAAATTTTGACTTTGACTAAAGCAAACCACTAAAGTAGCGTTTCTTAACCTTTTTTGTCTCGGATCCCTTAGAAAATCAAGCACAATTTTATGAACCCCCTTAATAAAACCACTTGGCTCACGCAAGTATGACGTGCAAAGCGATTACATACGAGACTTTTGGTGGTATTTATTTTATGATTGTTATGGTCCATAAATAAGGCTGCAGACCCCCATAGATATGCATATGACCACAGGTTAAGAAACACTGGCCGCTAGTTTGGCACATTGACAGTTTTTAAAACTGAGTTTTAGTATGGAAAATATGTCAAAATGACAACTTCAGTTAAAAATTATCCGACGATGGTAAAATCAGCCCTAAGTGAGCTGTGAGCTGCTACACTAGAGGATTGCGAGCGTTTGAAAAAGATGTCACTACACTTTATTACTCACGTACAGAAAACGTGATTTGATCCAATCTCATTTAGGCATTTATTGCTAATGCACTATAAACAACAGAATTATATGTTATCACAATAGTATAAGTAGGTACATAGTGATAACTCTGAACCAACTAGGGTGACTCCAACATCAGCTACTTGCTTAGACAATATATTCTGTAACTGCTTAGTGCTAGAGAAATCAATAATAAATTTTGTTAATTCTGATCATTGCGGTCAAATAGCGTCATTTCAACACCATTTTGTGCCATCGAGCAAGGAAATAGAATATAGACCAGTCACTGCATCCCAGAAAGACAAATTTAAATCTAAAATNTATTATTATTATTATTATTATTTTTGTTGACAAGTATTTTCTTGATGTTTAGTTTATGTTTTTTTATTTGGACAATCAACAACACAATAATATCAATTTTAATTTCATAGTTTCATCTCATTATTTGGCAAGCTGTAGTTGGGACGTGTATTAGTGCCCTAGAAAGGCCATAATTAATAAAGATTTTGATTAGTTTAGCAAGCTCTTCCAGACCTAATCCGAAAACAGCAGATGGAATTTGGATTCCTTATAGTGTTTAGAGTAATCAACTTTAAACACAACGTCCCACTTTTTCTGAAGATAAAATTTAACTTCGCCGTAGTCTAAAAAGGCTCACATCCATTAATGTAATTGTCAGGTCACCTTTGACATGTCTTCAAGACCTAAAAATAGTATCCAGGTCGCAAAACCTAGTCATCTTTCTTT